TCGACGTGCTTTGGGTGAAGTGATTAAAAAATATTTTTATTTGCCAAACCGTTAATATTCAGTTAAATATCGCAAGTTTAAGGATATTGCTACATGATTTAAAGTCATAACATCAAAATATTCCTCACATAAAAATGGTTTCAGAAAATAAATCAATTCTGTCTTTTCACATATGTCTCGGAGTTAATTCGATCTATAAAAACCTTTGCAAGTTGAGTGCAAAAAAATAGCGACACAATGTAACATTGCATAATAAACAAAGGACCTATGCCACCAAGACAGGAATATCGCAAGTTTTGAAAAAATATAGAATGTTTTCTTGTATATAAAATCGATATGGGCTTTGAGTGAAAAGGCTAAATCTAGAGAAACAGTTCGTGAAATGTTAATATGAAAACTGTGATAAACTTTTCTTGCGTCTCCTCTGTGTTGGTTGATAACATTAAAAAAATTTTCTGTAGTTTTATACTTACTTGTTTATCGAATTTTCAGTTCCTTCTTAGTAGTTCTACTTCTTTATATTTATCAATGATTTTTCCTCTTTTTTTCTATTTCTGAATCTCTGGGGCGAAATGTTAGGCAAATTATTAAGATACAGGAATATGTCATTAGAAGCAAAGACAAGAGTATTGAACTCTTACGAAATATCTGTTCTCCTATATGACAATGAATGCTGGATAATCTCATAACAAACGAAGAAAAGGCCACAGAAATTTGGTTCTACAGAAGGATCCTGAGAATACCATAAACTGAACATGAGAGCAATGACGAAGAAAATGAAAACAAAAGAACAATTATACTTAGCCTAAGAATAAACAGTTTAAATTTTTAAGGTACATAATGTTGTAACATAGAAAAGGTTACTGAATACTGGAATGGTCATTTTTATAACAGCAACAATACAATGCTCGCCAGCGCCGTGAAGGACATAAACCACTACTTGTGGTGGTATACTTATAGAACATATTACACCCTATTTACAATAGTGTCCAACGTATTTATGAGGATTGGGACATACGCATTAGTGTTCTTGCGTACGGTATATAGCACATAATGAAGAAAGAGGGCTAGAAAAATGTGATTCTTGTCGGGAATATTGAAGGCAATAGGGACAAAAAAACACCGCCTTACTTAGCTAACTAGCTTGCGTAAGTTATTCGCTGAACAAGAATGAGGAGAGATGGCAAAAGCACACACTTTAGCAAGAGCTACAAAGGACAAGAAAATGTCGAGATCCATGATCGTCCACGTCCCGAAGGGACACGGTACATACAAAAAGAATGAGACGCGCACTATTATCTCTATTTTTGCTGTTATCATATTTCAGATTTTATCTCGACACTTCGGCCGCAATCACGAACTAATGATTAAATTTACTAGGCTTTATTTTCTCTGTTTTTCTCTTCTTTTTATTTATTAATTTTATTTCTATTTAATTCAATATCATATATTTTTAGCCTCTTCTCCTTTTTTTTTTTTTTTTTAGTTTCCTTCTTCCAACTTTTTGACAAGGCTTTTCTGAGCAGTTCCATTCGTTCCACGAATAACGAGTAAAACTGCAATTTTGATGTTCCGTAATCTTTTCTTTTTTTTTCCGGGGTGGGGGCTTCAATTATGATTCCAGCTGAGACTGGGTGAATATTTGGGGATTCCACGTAAAAAAAGGCTATTATTTTTTTTTATTTTAATTTTCTAGGTAAGATTTTTAACAACATAAAATATGCAGGGGAGATTGCAAACTCAAAAAACTACAGATATTTATATTAACTTTTTTTTTTTTTTTCACAATGATGTTCAACATCTGTCTATATTTCTGAGATGGGATATTTTAACTATTTACATCACGCGGACGGTTATCCTCATCTTTATTACCATATTCACGGTGTTTCAGTCGTTGAACACCCCGGCTTTCATCAGGTGATATGGGCCAGTGAATAAAATCGTTGGTTGAGTAATCCAGAGATTGACTTGACCCAAAGATTTGTGAGTTATTTCTATAGCCATACTTGATATGGCTATAAAACTATCTGAAAGCGCGCTGAATAATAATAACTACGGAAAAATTATATAGAAATTCTATAACCGGAAAAACGGAAAATTGTTAGAATACTGATAAAACTCAATAAAAGATTGATTAAATCTACCTTGACGGCCATTCTCAATGAAAGATGCTTCAAAGGAAGCTTGCTGCCCAAACATACATTAATATATATATATATATATATATATATTCATCATATATATATAACTATACTATACAAATTTTATTTCTGTTGTTTTAAAAATGTTACAATTGTTGTTTTTTTTAATACGCGCTTTTTGAGAGAACTTGGTTTTTCTGAAGGACATAACGGATGGTATAAAAATGTTGCATCAGTGTTGATACCACCAAAATTATTTGATTGTTGCGGATTTGTTTTTTGAATTCTTGGAGAAAGGTTACGTATATATTAGCCAATGAGCGACGATCTCGTCGAGCCCTTGTGAAATTCTGGACGGAGCCGTTATGAACCTCTTTTGTTCAATAAAGGGACTGCTATTTAGCGGATCGGAACGGACAGAAGGAGCCGTTAAGAAAGCAATTAATGGCCAAGAATTAAGCATTAGTGCCTCCGCTTCAAGAGTACTGCTCCAGCCGAGGGATCATAACTCAACACGGGGAAAGAACTAGCCGACAGATTCAAAGCATATTCAAACTCCAAGACAGGACATTCCTTTCTGTGCCTTCCTGAGAAGAATTTAGATCGAAGAAACTTTCAAGTTTAAATTTCTAGCAAAGTACTACGAAAAGCCCTAGAGATCACAACCTGTGAAAACATGAAAAGAAATTTGTATTGAGACGTCCTAATATTGAGTATACAATCAAGGACGGTGGGTGGCTGCGTTTTGTCTTTTTCCGCCTGATGCATTTTTTCTTCCTCGAAGTTTTTCTCTTTTTTTTTCCATTTTTAAAGGGCGTAATCTTTTTTTGTCTTGGGATCCGTGTTCTTTCCTAAAAATTATAACATTTTTTTTCTTTATAAATGTTGGCAATCTCCTTTTTTAATCCCAGGAAATTTTTATCCTGCTCTAGGAAAATATAGTGCAACCTTGCATTGTACCTGTTGTGGATTCCGGGTTGAAATCCGGTACCAATAAATAACAAACGCCAGGAATGAATATATGAAAATAATGTATTAACGTAATAATACAAACTGGTAAAGCAGGTTAGTAGTTCCAGGAATATCTATACAATCTTTGGTATTGAAGTATCGCTGTATGACCTCTTACTGAGTCTACGTGCTCGCTCACTGTGACTCCTACAACGCTGTTACCTCACCCTCACTCTTCCGGTTACCTACAACCTTTTACTCTGTCACTCTGGACTCGACTCGACTCTGGACTCGACTCGACTCTGGACTCGACTCGACTCTGGACTCAAGTTGACTCTGGACTCGACTGCTCCAGTCTTGCGGTGTTTACTCATTCCCCCACGAGAATGAGATGTGACACAAGGTCGGATTAATATGGGGACCCGAGCGCGTACACTCATGCAGGGTCAAAAACTCCCCTCAGCCCCCGCAACCGTTGGTTGCGCTGGCCTCGGTGCGAGCACCGATCCCTCCCTCTTGTGCAATGGGAGGACGCGACCCAGGCTGTTCCCCAGGGCTGGGCACCTCTTCAGTATAATTTTCCTCAGTTGCCCCCTCTGTCTTTTGACAGAGAAGTCCCGGAGCGCACTCTGTCCAAGGACAGAGACGCAACTGAGAGATGATAAATAATGTGCATAAATTGCTCTTCGGGTATTCACTGGGTGAGTCCATTTGTATAAAAAGGGGTGAACCCCTCAAGAGTACCCTTTTGGGGATATTGTAAAATAAATGTGTTTTTCCTTTTTGAAAGAGTACGTATTGTGGTTCTTGTTTTCTCATTTTGCGCCAATTATTGTGGCTTGCGTTTTCTACTCGGTCAGGTACAAAAGCGTGGATTTGATAGGGTATTTTTTTTTTATAATTCATCATTGAAATAAACCCTTTATTTAATCTACGTATCGACTCTTCTCCTTCTATGGCCCATGTCTAGTTCTTATTAGTAGTATTGTTCAGTTACTGCTTACCCTGTTTCCAGTGAGTCCAAGTACACACTGCTCGGCCAGGGATTGAACTAACGACGAACCACCGCTATTGTCCCCTATTTAAATAGTGTAAATAAGGATAACTCGTCATCTCAGAAATTTAGACAGAAAAAGTGTTCTTTCAGTTATTTTTCCTTAAAATTCCTCGTTGCCAACGTGTTTCGCCCATGATATGCTTAGCATAATTCATTAGAACCGCATTTCTGTTGCTTCAACTGTCCTCTACTAGGTAAGGAAAATTGTTTGCGCGTCATGATTACTAGAGTCAAGTATTTCTTTAAGAATGTGTAGAATATATGAATTAATGTCATGAAAGAGTTCCTCCAAGTTGGTTGGTTGCTTCTGTTTTACAACAAATGGACCATTCCATGCCGGAATCCTAAATAAGTTGAAGACAACTTCAAGCGAACGTTCCTCGAACGCAATTGCATGCCTTCAAGTAAAGATAAAATGTATTGCTGGTAATTCTGCTATAAATATGTAGTGATAGTAATTTCTGTTTATATAAATATGTATTGCTGGTAATTTTACTATGGTGTTTATATATATATATATATATATATATATTTGCTCAATAACTCATAGCTGGAACTGTAGCAGATTCTACCACTCTAGATTAGGGTCGACCCGGAAATAACAGCAATGAATAGGTTGTTCCACCCTCCTCAAAACCTCCAATCTCCAGATCAGAGGCCTTGATGCCGGATGTAGTTTATTGCCATACCCAGGAATCACCGAGCTTTGTGAATAGACAATTCTCCAGCTCATATTTCTTTTTCTTTTTTTATAATTCTGTTTTTTTTTTTTTCTTTTAAAAAAAAATCTAAGTTTCTTTGTAACATTTCTCTGTTTTTCCTTAATTTTATTTTGGTTACGTTCCACGCGCATGCGCAGTATACATATATTTCTTTTTGTCATCAAAGACAATCACTTTCTATCTAGCTTCTCTGTTCATCTTAATTCTGGACACTAGCCCAACCGTTGCACACGTTTTACTTCGCCTTTTCTTCGTTGATCGACTGGTCTCAGACCCTTTAACAAATCCAGTCTTTATTTCTCGATTCCCTTGATATCTAATCCAACACGACAGGCTCATTTTAAGCAATCCACGTCATATAGCATCCAATCCAACAACACTATCCCTACCGCTACCCGACGAAAACACTACATTCCTACTTCCTCTCCGCTTCTGTCACAGGTTCCACTCTTTCTTTACAAATGGCCCTTACATCATCGTAAAGGTCTCTGCTCTCGTAACCGTCTAGAAATTTGCTGCAGGGTGTAGAGAGAAATAGTTTTCTTTTTCTTCTTCTTCTTCTTCTGTCTACTTGATGGATTTATGTCCCCTTACCTCTGCGTTTTAACCTGCCTCTTTTCTTTTCTGTCTTTACTTTTAAGATTTTTTTTCTTTTTCGCTTTCATTTATATCCCATATTATTTCCTTCTTTCTTTATTCTTTTTCTCTTTTCCGTTCACGTTATTACTTTCCTCTCACTTTCTTCTTTTTCATTTTCATTTATAGTCCATATTTTTTCTTTCTTTCTTTCTTTCTTTCTTTCTTTCTTTCTTATTCTCTTTTCCGTTCCTCCTATTGCTTTCTCCTTTCTTCCTTTTCTTTCTTTCCTTCACTTATTTAAGCTTTTAGTGAATTAATTTTCCCTTACTCTTATCTCACACGGCTTCGTTTGCATTCATATTTAATGCGACTTTTTTCAATGTGGGAGCAGTTAAAATTACTTCAATCAATATGGAGCCGGATTTGTGGCAGAGATAGTTGGGTATTGTTAATTGTCAAAATTACATCGTGTTCGAGGTCAGTTAAAGCTAACACTTGTAATGCTGATTTTCTAAGAAGCTGAGCTCTCCGGAATTTTCGCCGAAAATCTAGGAGAAAGGAGGAAAATGGTTTTGTGTGACACGTTTCATCCTTTAGAACTTAACCGGATCAAACTTTAGGATGTTTCGTACTTCAGGACTTCATCAGATTAAACTTCTCGCACTCATTGTCATTGATTTTTTAAATATATACACTACAGGAAAAATGTTTGGATTCACACTGTACCCTACATTTCTTTTTAAAAAATGCTTAAAATGACATATTTTTGTATTTTTTTTAATTAAAAGATATTAATTACAATTTGTTTATAAAGGGTGTTTCATTAAGACGGATCAAAGTCAGCAGTAAATAAATCAGTGTTATTAGTAAAAAAAAAATATTTATTTCTCTATTGGATTATGTTAGTTAAATTATGGTAATTATGGGCGAAAAATAAAATCGCTCAAATGTCCGCCAAATCTGATAGAAAAGAAAGAAAACATTAGACGCTTAAAATTAATTCACATTTAAAATCGGTCCAAGTTATTTGAACGTCCTTTATTTTTCAGTCTTTCTCCAGGCTCCTCTTACTACCAAAAAGTTCAAATTTAGATTCGTCTGTCCACAATACAGTTTGCTAAATGAGAATACAGTTTGTATGAGAAATATTATAGTTTTGTTGTCATCAAAACACTCTTCTAATGTATGCAAAAATTACCTCGAGTCAAAGAAAGGAACAAAATTTTGAAAGTTATGACTTGGCTGTCTCAATACCCTGGACACCCATTGAATTCGTATCGAAAGAACTTGTTAGGAGAGTTAGGACAGAATACTCAAGCGTGTGAGTGAGATTTTTCAGTGCTTGAAGAATGCTTGGGAGGGTCTGTCATCTATTTTTTTTTCAAAACTGTTGGAAGGAATGCTAAGGTGGTGGTTCCGTTAACGAAAATAGAATACGATCCTTTTGTCTGATACTTTTTTTATAGTTATGATTATTTACTTCGTAAAAAATACAAAAATTGTGGTACAAGGCCGAAAGGAAATTGCGGAGAGGCTGATCTTCATTAGCTATCCTAATCCTAGTTAATCAGAATCACGACCCATTCAATCATTACAATTTGCCCGCTCATCACAAGAACTCATCCATCACCACTCAATCCTGCATATACTATAATACCGCATATGCGCAGGGGACCTCCAGAACATCACATGATGTAAAAATTTCATTTCATTGTCCATAAAATTCGTTTATATGAACATTTCATGATTTCTTATACGATGGAGTCGGAGGATGAAACCAGAAAACAAACTAAAAATGAAACAATATTAGTAGGAGCCGTCTATCCCTCAAAATAATAAGAGTGGTCGCTGTATTCTGTTGATAGACAAAATCAAGAAGCATACTCACTAATGGAAAGGGAAGAGTAAAAATAAATGACGGAAAGGAGAAAGGGGACTCAGTCGGGATGAAAAATGGTGGACAAAAACAAACTAGGGGAGGTAAGGAATCTTAAAATGAGTCATGACAAAATGCCGAGAACAGACCGGGAACACCACTTATTCATATTAATATATTAATTAACGAAACATTTTCTAACTTAACCAGGGAAAGGTTCACAGGAAATCGCCCCGTTGCTTCAATGGGACTTAAAAAGAAAATCAAGGCTACCCTCGTACACACGAACCAGGCTTGCCTTAGTCACTTACCTTTCTCTGCAATCTGTCACAATCGCTCGTAACACATGACCCCGCGAGAGTGAAAACGAGAAGTACTATGTATGGGAAGCTGTTGGTATAAACCAATGGCGTCTGTTATCAATTATAGGAATTTAAGAATATTTGTGGAGATTTCATAGTTTATTTTGTTCAGGCTAGGTTTCAGCTGTTTTACGTATATAGCTTCAAGAATTTTTAGTTTTTTTTTATGTTTAAGTATAGTTGTGTTTTCAAAGAGGATTTTCCAGAATTGTGTATGCGGCCAGGCATGTTGTTTTAAATGCCTAAAATCTTGTCTATATTATTTAATGAAACATTCATCATTAAAAATACTGCCTAAATACACACACAATATATATAGCCATTCCAATTTCTTATAATTAACTTAAAATTTAATAGATCACAACGTATCGGTCGTTGTACGCTCCGACCTTCTTCAGGTAGTTGGAATGTCGAACTGAACCCTTTATTTCAATACCGGGTTAAGATGGTGGAGAACTTGGAGAGGGGAATTAACAGGAGATAACAGATAACTGACATCCATTAGACATGGCACTTGGAACTAGAACACACACACACACATATATATATATATATATATATATATATATATATATAAATCCAGTACTTTAGAAATTGCTTTGTTTACGTTTTGATACGAAACTTTGCATACATGAAAATTTCGAATCTATGACAAGAAGGATTTAGCTTAAACGGACAATTCAGCCTTGCTTGATCGGAAAAAAGCTCAACATACTCCGTTAAAGAATAGTTTTCGCTGCCTAGTGGGGACGCACTTCGAATAATGCCGGAGAGCGTATATTTTTTGTTTAATAATATTTCTTGAATATTCAGGCCGGGAGACGAAAATTATAAATATACTATCTAATAAGTGAGTATCCCCTAAAGATAACATTTAATCTGTCAGATTAATAAATAAAAATCCATTTCATCACATATCTCTCTCTCTCTCTCTCTCTTTTTCATTGATGCATGTTTCATTAAATAATATAGACAGGTTTTTAGGAATTTAAAACAACATGCCTGGCCGCATACACAATTCAATATATATTGATGTATGTTTCATTAAATAATATAGACAATTTTGTCTATTTATTTTAAGTAAATTCCTTTTATATTTCTGATAAGCTTAATAACATCATTGAAACACGAAAGAAAATCACCATATTGATACATGTTTTTTAATTCTATCTAAGCTTTCGGTTACATGAGCCATTATCAAAGTTGACAATTACATTTCAATATATTAAACAATACACGGACAAAACAATAATGATAGTCTGTTTTTGTTGCATGAAAGATTTCTAAGCAACGACAAACTCATGTATACGAGACGCAGAAGCGAAAATCGCACCGCATTCGTGATATTACACATGACCACGCGAGAGTGAAAACGAGAATTATTATGTATGGGAAGCCAATGGTATAAACCAATGGCGTCTGTTATCAATTATAGGAATTTAAGAATATTTGTGGAGATTTCATAGTTTATTTTGTTCAGGCTAGGTTTCAGCTGTTTTATCTATATAACTTCAAGAATGTTTATTTTTTTTTTATGTTTAAGTATAGTTGTGTTTTCAACGAAGATTTTCCAGAATTGTGTATGCGGCCAGGCATGTTGTTTTAAATGCCTAAAAACCTGTCTATATTATTTAATGAAACATGCATCAATGAAAAAATGCTGTCTTAATACACACACAGAATATATATATATATATATATATATATATATATATATCTCCTTTCTCAACCATTCCAATTTCTTATCATTAACTTAAACTTTAATAGACTTTTTTTTCTTTTTTTAATCGGTTTCAACCCATGCAAATCAATAAAGCCACTAAGACACTAGAAGTTGCTAGGCGTGAAGGAATTACAAAGAGAAACATTAATGATGCACTGAAAGAAAAAGGAGTAATCAGGACAGCAGATAACGATTGACATTGCATTTAAACTTTTCAGATTAAAGTTACTATAATAAAAGAAACTATTAGTATAGAATTTACGGTTATATCTAGCCAGCGCAAATGTAAATTGATGAGATCCAGACGCCAGTCTAGTAGTGCACTTAAATTTTTAAAAAGTCTTGATACCATAGCGAAGAGTTCATCCGATCAATTATCATGAAAGGCAAAGAGGAATCACTTAGTTGATAAATGAGAAGTTTAGATTTGGGGGCGTTAAAATTAGGAATACATTTTTTGCCCCAGTTAACAAAAGACTTGAGATTGTTTTGATCATCGTCTTCCATTATGACCTTGTCGAACTGATCACCCTTTCATTTTTGTAAACTGTTGCACAATGCTAGACAATTTTCTCGCCAGAATCTATCTTCCATATCTATAAGTCAACCAATCGTCTTTATTTTGAATATTTCTGCCATATTTGGTCTGGTGCTCTTGCTATATATTTAGAAATTCTTGATAAAATCAACAGAAGACTCTGCAATGTTAATATCCCAGTCCCTTTTTCCACCATATCTATAAGTCAACCAATCGTCTTTGTTTTGAATATTTCTGCCATATTTGGTCTGGTGCTCTTGCTATATATTTAGAAATTCTTGATAAAATCCACAGAAGAATCTGCAATGCAAATATTCCAGTCCCTTTTCCCATCATATCTATAATCAACCAATCGTCTTTGTTTTGAATATTGCTGCCATATTTGGTCCGGTGCTCTTGCTATATATTTAGAAATTATTGATGAAATCCACAGAAGAATCAGCAATGTTAATATCCAGTCCATTTCCCACCACCTTACAGAGTTTCCTTGTGCTTTTTTCTATAGATTATTTCATGGAAACTGTTCTGATAAACATTCCTGTATGGTACCTAGACTTTATGAATTTAAGCAGAGTACTTAGAAGAAAAGTTCCCTTCTCATTTACACTTGATATGGCCAGACGTAACCATTATTTTTAATTCTGACAGTTTCTTCTATCGCACTTCTCCTCTGTGGAACTCTCTACCGGATTCTTACTTCACAATCAACTTTGATCTTCATAAATTTAAATGTAATGTCAATCGTTATCCTCCGTCTTAATGATTATTCTTTTAATGTCCTCTCTCCTTAATAGTAGTGTCTCTTATATTCTCTAGCACTCGGTAACCTCTTGCGTTATAGTGGCTTTGTTGCCTTTCTTGAGGTAATTAAAAATGCTTTACGGGACACGCTTTCTCACATGTGAACATTTATGAATGATTTGATATAGGTGTGTATTTGTGGTTCAGTGTGATGATTATGGACAAAATTGTTAGAAGATATGTATATATCTATGTCTATATGAGGGCTTTCGGTTTTGTGTAACGCAATAGTACTGCCCTAGGAGGATTAAAAACAAGACCTGCAAATTACGGATGAAATCTGATGTCTTCTTATTCTTTTATTGTCCTCGCTCTGCTTAATAGTAGTTTTTTCTCATATTCTGTAGCACTCGGTAACCTCTTGCGTCCTAATGGCTTTATTGATTTGAAATGATTATATATATATATATATATATATATATATATATATATATATATATATATATATATACATAGAAATAAATTCAACCATAATTTTGATTTTAAAAATGCTACACTCATAAAAAAAGAAAATAACTCACTCAGAAGGAAAATTCTAGTGAGTGCCCCCATAGAAAATTACCCAAATATTAATCTACGCCCAGGTTTTTTCCCAATTTCACCTTTCTTAACAAAATTACTGCTCTCACAAACAAATATACACAACAGATTCATAAAATCAAAAGAAAATGGTTGAATACATCAACACAGATATAATAACATTCTCCACACGTGACGTTATTTTTCAGTTAAAAATATGAAAATGGCGTTTCTCTACATTCCAGTTGCTAGGTACATTCTGTTTTTGTTTTTATTAGTTACTTTATTCAATTAATTTCATTTTCGTATTTTGCTTTGATAAAGTCCACATTGGTCGAAACGTGTCAGCAATTACCAGTTTACCTATTGTCATTTTTATTCATAAATATTGTCTTCTCTACTGGTTAAATTAGAGAAATTTTCATATATATATATATATATATATATATATATATATATATATGGGTAACTTTCCCTGACGATCCGCTTAGGTGAAACCTGGGTAGGTTTACCTAGCTCATTAGGTTTGACTATATATATATATATATATATATATATATATAAACCCGAAACATTAAAAAAATGATTATGTTTACACCTCAAGCGTTTTAATCCAATTTTGAAAACTCGCTTATACATATGATTCACAAAGATATGTCTTACACTGACGTTGTTATCAAATATTTCACATTCGATACACGGCTTCAGCTTTGCATTATCTAGATAAATTCACCCATACCGCTACATACCGTTGTACAGATCTTTATCCGTTCCATCTATCGAACCCCTCACCCCTTACGCCAAAGCACTACCCCAGACTCCCATACCGTCACATCTGCCTCTTCCTTCCGTTACTATAAAGGATAAATCTCTTCTACCCACGTTTGATCCTTTTATTCACCGGTACATACCCCACTATTACAGCTTCCTACCTATTACCATTTATTTCTCTTCTCCTGGACGTTCCTTCTCTTTGTGCCATCTTTCGGATTTTCTTTCTGCCTCCAGCTCACGTATTTTCCCGCCACTACTGTTCATAATCCGTCTCTCTTTCTCCTTCCTACGCTATGCCTTCAGACTGTTTCTCCATCTTGTTCACCCTAACACATACCCTAACTGCAACTCTCTCTTTTTTCTCTTTTTTTTTTTTTTTTTTTTCAATGCTTAACTTTATCCCTTCGGGGTTGCATTGGTGAAGAGAAATGAATTTGCTGGAATTATGGTTGTTTTTTTCCTCTTTTTTTTTTCCTTCATACGATTAGAAATTCTTATACCATCGCCCGAAGTCACAGACCCGTGCCAATCGACATTGTCCACCCTTTCTTTTGACCATCAATCCCTCTGTCTCATCGTCTGCCCTCTTTTTCGCCCATTCGTTCATTTCGACAAGCCGATCCAAGACTGAAAGGGGAACGGGCGCCCCGATCCCTTTGATAGTTACTCGCTAGCGAATTACATCTCTCTTGAAAGATTTCGTCATTGATGGACAGTTTTTCCTCTTTATGTCGTGTTTTCCCGCTATGCATCGAGGCTCATCAGCCATGTTTTTTCCCGACTATTTCGGTCTATCGTGTGACAGAGGACGAGGAAGCGCAGCCTATCATATGCAATGAGGGCCAATCACATGCTTTATTTTATATTGACTCTTCTCTTCAATTTCATTTTTTTCTTCTTTTTTCCTTATTATATACAGGATCTCGAATCTGTGAAAGGTCCTTCGTAAAATTGGTTAATGTTTTGCTTCTCATCTTTCATGTCATTTATTGGAGTAAGTTTAATATTTTTGTACAAGCGAATCAATTAAGAAGAAGCACAAATATATTTATTTAAGCTTCGTAATCTTTAAATAAAGCATAACATGATGAATCTATAATCGTTTCATATTTTTCCTTATTATCTGATAGATAGATAGATAGATAGATATGGACAGAGAAAATAAATATGAACAGACTGAATAGGGAGATAGGTATATATTAAATAGATAAATGCGAACAGACTAGATAGATACATAGATATAAACAGACTAAAGAGATACATAGATAGATAGATAGATAGATAGATAGATAGATAGATAGATAACCACCCGATGAATATTCATGAACGGTCAAAAATCTAAAAGCCTTGATAAACCAATGATATCCTTGCTCTTATATATAAACACATGCAACAAAATGAAGTATACATTAGCTTTGATAAAGTAAGTCAATCAGAGGACGAAATGCGCGTCTATGAATAGTTTTTCATCTTGTTTTTTTAATTTATATATACATGTGCGTGTGTCCGCGTGCGCATGCGCGCGCGCGTGTGTGTGTGTGTGTCCATGTACGCCCCAACACACCTATGTGAGTGTATGTGTGCGTCTGTGTGGGTAGGTTGTTTTTTTAACGATTGTGTTTTAAAAATTTGATTTTATTAATTTCATCTCAAGTTTTATATATTCATACAGTGTAACCCGGATGTAAGAGAGTTGTCGGGACAGGAGACGAAGTCTCTTATATCCGGGTTTCTCTTATATCCGGGGTTGGTCTGTTTTATATACATTAACACAGGCTCTAATTTGGAGCCAGATAAAATCTCTCTTATATCCGGGTTTCTCTTATATCCAGGTCTCTTATATCCGGGTTACACTGTATATATTTTATATATCTATTTATTTCTTCATTTATCTAATTATTTATATGTTTGATTTAAGATTATCGTACTCGGTCATGTCTCAGCACCAATTTAATAAGGATAGGTGATCAATTGATATCGGCCATTCGTATATTGACGGCAGGTGTTTCATAGTCCATAGCTCTTTCAATATATCTGACGAAACTACATTTATTTTTTTTTTTTTTTTTTGTTAAAATGTCATTTTACAGGTCTCTGTTGTTGACACGAAAAACCCCTTTGTGTCTAGTTTGTCATTTGCTACATATACCCAACATTGAGAAGTTTACATTTATAAACTGTTGAGGCCATTAGTTCACGTTTATGTCCTTAACTTTTCTCTTTTTGGGGCCCAGCAAATTACCGTTTATGGAAAAAGAAGCCAATGAAAAATGGATAGATCAGTTTGACCCCAAATAAACAAGCCAATATGGCCTGTGTCAATTTTACTATAGTTCAAAAATTATAAATACAAAAGCTATTCAAAGTAGAGGTTTACTTAACCTTTTGCCTGCCCAGGGCATTTTCCTGTGTACTATCCAAACGTTTATGCTTGTTTTCAGATTTACAACTATTGCAAGGCAACTCGGCTTATTTAGAAAATAGAATGTGCTTCACATATAGCGTTTCACATAACAACCTGTGCTTCACATGTGATGCACAGAACGTGCAAATCATAAGTATTTTTAGATTACACTCTATGCATCACATGTCATGCAAAGGTTATAATAATTTCAATAATGCAGAAAAATTTCATTTGAGATCTTTTATTATCAGTCAAATGTCCTTTGGTCATATATGATGCACAAAATATTAGGTGCGGCCTTTCCTCAGACATCCTGGTCAATAATAGACTATTTTCTTAGGCGTCCTTAGTGTACCACTCTTTTACAATCAGGCTCGTGTGCATCACATTTAAAAAACGGACGTATAAACCACATGTCCTATGCATCACATATGATGTGTGTTGTGGATTCCGTGAATGGAATCCTGCACAAATAAATAAACAACGCCAGTAATTGAGATAGAAAAATAAGTGTATTAAACGTAAGAATACAGACTTGAAGTGAAGATTAGTATTCCAGGAATGCGGGTTAGTAGAAAGTATATGTACAAGTCTCTGTAAGTAAAAGCCGTAATATATATATATATATATATATATATATATATATATATATATATATATATATATATATATATTTTAACGTTATTTTTATAGATACAAGTATTTAGCAAATGCTCTGTTTATGATAAACAGTATTAAATAACATTTACCGGCCTGAATGTCCGAGAAATTTTCATAGAAAATATTCGTTCTATGAAAATTTCTCGGACATTCAGGCCGGTAAATGTTATTTAATACTGTTTATCATAAACAGAGCATTTGCTTAAATACTTGTATCTATAAATAACAACGTTAAACATAAAAATGTCTTTAATAAATAAATTGTCGGACCTTGTCCATTTCTTAACATATATATATATATATCTGGACTCTTGTATAACTCTCTGAGAACACCCTGTATCTGTCTCCGTATCTATCAACGTATCTCGATATTTAACATTCCACCCACGAGGAATATATGCGGCACAAGGCCGAGTTTAAAGTGGGTTTCTCCGAGCCCGTAGGCTCAGCCACAAAAAATATCTCCTTTGAAACTGCATAAGCGGGTTCGGGAACTGTCTACCCCCGCGTACAAAAATTTGACCCTCGGCAAATCTTCGTCCGGGTTCCTCTCTGCCAAAGCAGAGAGTTCGACAGACGTCGCACACAGTCAGAGACTGTATCTCGACGTTTCTCGATATTTAACATTCCACCCACGAGGAATATATGCGGCACAAGGTCGAGTTTAAAGTGGGTTTCTGCGATCCCGTAGGCTCTGCCAAAAAGTATTCCCTTTGACTTATCTCAACAGCAAGTATTCTCTCTGTCAGTATAAGTATACTTTGGACGAGTCCATCTTATGTAAAAAGGGGATAGCCCAACAACAATACGAAATACAGATAATGTATTAATCAGGTGTGTTTTATGAATGTAAAAGGAGAGAGTGTGAAGTGACAATCATGAGGATATGGTGGATACATGACTAATTGAGAATGCGAAGAGTTTATGATTGTAGTGTTTCTAGAAACATTATTTAAAGTAGCTCTTCTTGCAAGGAAGATTTCTTATCAAAGGAATACGTAGGATACGGGAGTGATTAATCACTGTGGATGTGGCAAGGCGAGTCTTGTTCTTAAGTGTCTGAATTGGAAGAGATAAAGAATGGAGTTCGGATGAACTTTTACCATGTAAGAAGCAATAGCATGGCGATTGGTTTGAGACGTTGCATTTGGGGGAGAGGATGAAAAAAATACGCCATTCTCAAGAAAGCCCTGTAAGCATCTTTGAACTCTGGCAGGGCTAGGGAGTGATTATTGGGCTGCTCTAGCCCAGATATGACAGCAATACTCAATTTTTAGTGTCACCTGACTTGTAAAGATAAAAAAAAAACATCTACTGGGGTAAAAAGTACTTATTCAGTGTGTGTAGCGAGATTCAAAGAGAATTCTTTATTACTGTTTGCTTGAACATGCATGAAATGCTTACGTGCAAAGTTGCAGCGAGCATTTGGTTAATGTTAATGATTCATTGGAAGAGCAGAGTCGTTATTTTTTCTTTTCTCTGGAATGAAATCGATCAACGATATTCTTCATTTCAACAGCCATTCCTCGTGTTAAAAATTGCGATCATGAAGTTCGATTGGTAAGTCCTTTCACAGTCAGCATGTTACACAGACTTGACACCTTGTAGACGAGTAGTAGGATTCGTGTCGATCTTGCGTTCGTCTGTCGAACTCTCTGCTTTAGCAGAGAGGAACCCGGACGAAGGGCAAGGTTTCGTCCGGGGAGGTAGACAGGCCTTGAACCCGTCTAGGCGGGTTCAAAAAGGCTATATCTTTGGCCGAGCCTACGGGCTCGGAGATACCCACTTTAAACCGGCCTTGTGCCACATTCTATCCTCGTGGGTGGATAGATAAATACCGACTTGACACCTTTAGACTTGTATTTTTAAAAAATGTTCATTTAATACAAAGACCAAGAGCCACTCAATGTAGAGGTTTATTGAGAGTAGCTGCCAAATGGACGCAAGCGAAGGAAGTCAGCGCAGATTTTGTAGGATCGATAATGGTTCACACTAGACTTGAATTGGTTATGATTATAGGGATCGAGGAAGCGTCATCTCGGGAGCTTGTTACGCGAAGAAGTTATTCTCAAGAAGAAGCTATCTGAGTAGAACTTTATTCTGACCAATGGAATAGGAAAGAAATGAGAACGTCTTGACCCTGAGTACGTAATTTAGGGATAGTTTTAGATGTAACGGTTTAATCCGGTGAAACTAATTAATGTCTCTCATCAGAATATTTGCCATAGCAATAGTGATATAACAGAAAATGGCCTAAAAGATTTCGTCGCGGATCTACCCTATTTCTGTTTTTTCTTGTCACTTGATCTCCAAAAAACACTCATCTACGCCTTTACTTCCTATCAGCCTTTGTGTTATGGTCCGGTTCCTTGTACCACGGTGATAGTCCAAGGTAGAACCAATAAAGAAGAACTCGAACACAGGTATGGTATAACACAGATATATTACAAACAGGAAAATATACAGAGAAGTAGAAGTGTTAGTATGAACAATCAGGTTTAGTAAAGAGAACAATGTAGTCTCGACCAGTATCACTATTCCAATGTCTTGCAGTAATTGTCTGAACGCGACTCGGACTGCCTCTGACTCGACTCTTGACTCGACTTGAAC